GTGTATGGTGTATGTGGGGTGTCTGTGTGGTTGTGTAGAATATGTGGATGGTGTGTATGTGTGTGGTATATATGGGTGGTATATGTGTAGAGTGTGTGTATGTGTGTATATATGTATAGTATATGTGGGCAATGTGTGGGTGGCATGTGAATATATGTGTGGTGTGGTGTATGTGGGTGGTAGGTGTGGGTGTGTGGTGTATGTGGGCAGTATGGGTGTGTGGTGTGCTGTATGTGGGTGGTGGGTGTATGGTATATGTGGACAGTGTGTGTGTGTGGTGTGGGGGGGAGTGTGGTATGTGTGTGTGCACACATGCACGCGCACATATGTGTGTGTGGTGGATCTAACAGTGCCTTGGACATGCTAGGCAAGTGTTCTACCACTGGAAGCTTAAAACTTATTTGCTTATATCTAACCTCATTTTATGTTTTAGACAGAGGAGAGGGAGGTTTTGGGAAAGAGAGACAGAGACTGACTTAGGGAAGAGGGTTGTATTGCACATGGATGGAACCATTTCTAATATGAAGGAATACTGGGACCCATTTCAGAAGCTGCTACTGTGTTGGTGACTCTGAAGTCAGGGAGCATATGTCAAATGTCAACCCATCTATGGTTTAGGCAGCATGGACAGTTAACAGCCAAGCAAGGAACTGCATTTGTCCTTATGGCAGTGCCATGGGCCAGGGCCAGGAAGGTAGAACAGAATCAGAATTGGGTCAAGTCAAGAGGATCCCCAAGACCCTGGGAGACATCCCCACCCAAGCAAGGCAGAAAGGAGAAGAGCTGGGCAGCAAGAAACTTCTATACTTTGGCAGTGGCTGTCTCAGAAAGTCTTTCACCCCCACCCCTGCCATATTTAACCTGACACCGAGTCTGTAGGGACTGCAGTAGGAAAGCCAACTTCTTTAAGCATCTCTGGGAAGTGAACAGCCTAGAGGCAGAGCTTGGAGTGGGCAGGGAAGGAGTACCAGGAAGTTTCTAGAAGTAGGTAGGTGGTCTTAAAAACCCCTGGCAAGCTCTTTGTTCTTTGAGCAATGCTGACTGAGTAAATGGATCTCAAATCCAAGTTTTCTCATCTCTGAAATGATCCTTGGTTAATAGTGAGGCGAGATGAAAGGGAACACTAAAACCTCTTGGTACGCTGCCTGCTACAGGGCAAGCGCTCAATAAATGCTTATTACTAGTGCAGGATAGTAACATATTTCAAAAAGAAGTGAGTGCATTCCTTAAAGTCAAAGCAATAATGACAGGAATGTCATCATGTCTGGCTGAAAGGATGTACACACTGGATCTAAGTCGAAACGTATTTGCTATATCAAGAGGGTGGCAGGCGGGGTGGGGACCATAGACAACTGGTGAATGACTATCTTGCATCAGGCATTGAGATAAATACCTTATAAAGTCCTTATCATTCCATCCTTTCAGCCCACACGTAAGTGAGGATGGTTGTCTCTGTCTTACAGGGAAAGCAGCTAGTGTGTGGTTGAAGGTCGTGTGTTTAATAGAGTTGAAGCCTGGATCAAGCACCACAGGCAAGCTGTTTGCTAGCCAGCTGAGTTCCAAAGGCTGAGGCCAAGGAAAAGTCATTGATTTTTTTAAAGTAAAAATATGTGGTGAGAGGAGATGCTAAGTAGAGCTTATTCAAAACAGAGGAAGGAGCTGTGGTGTGTTCAGGTTGTAAGGGATATGACAGCAGGTTCTGAGTCAGTAAAGGGATAAGAGAATGCCTTTCCTATGGGCATTAGGGGATCAGACTGAGAATCCAGGACAGAGGACATCAACTGAGTGCCACCCCCAGCCTTATTGTTGAGCACTCTTTGGGTTTTCCCTGAGAAAACCAATCCATACTCACTCAGGAACAAGCTGAGTTTTCCAGTTGCTATCTAGAGGCTTCCAGACCTCTGAGGAAGTTCTCATTTGAATGAACAATCCTTTTACCACCAGAGAGACAGAGGGAGAGGGAGAGAGAGAGAGAGACAGAGACAGAGACAGACAGAGAGACAGACAGAGAGACAGACAGAGACAAAGAGAGAGACACAGACAGAGACAGAGAGGGAGGAACGGAGAGAGAGAGAGAGGAGAGAGAGAGAGAGAGCACACGTGTGTTTGTATGCATGTGTTTGTGGATATAAGGGGTTAACATTAGGAGTCTTTTTTTCAATCATTCTCACTTAACAGAATCCATCACTGAACTGGTTCTCACCAATTTGGCTAGGCTGGCTGGCCAACAAGGCCCTCACATCCTTTGCCTCCCCAGTGCTGGGATTACACACATCTGCCACTCTGCCCAGCTTTTATGTCGGTACTAGCAATCCAAACTCAGTTCCTCATGCTTGTGCTACAAGCATCTTACTGAGTGCCAATCTCAGCCCCCAACTGCTAGGTTTCAGACACCCCAGCATCACCCAGAATCCTTCTGTGGATGGGTAAGTACCCAAGGTCAGCATCAATTGTGGCTACAGAAGTCAAGATTTCTAGTTGCAGAAACACATGAGCAGGGAGAGATGTACTTCCAGATATTCATTCCTTTGCAAAATTTCCAGGAAGGTCAAAAAGCCACACTTGGCTGGTATGCACCAGGAACAACCCAGCCAGTCAGCCACACTGTGTGGGATTTTCTTCAAGAAAATGTGGGAGTGAAGACAAACGGGTGTGTGAAAGGAGAGAAATGGACTACAGGTTAATAAGTGTTGAGGCTAGAATGGGTACACAAGACTCCCTTCTACAAGTCTGATGTGTTAAGACACTGAGATATGACTACGTACCATACTTAAAGTGTATAATTGAGTTTTAAAGAGTGAGGAAATCATCACCACCATCTAAATGTATCACTCACCCTGCCTCACCCCCAAAGAAACTTCATGGTGGTACAGCCTCATAATCCCAGCACTCAGGAGGTGTGGATCAGAGGAGTTGAAGTTGAAAGCCAGCCTGAGTTACACAGAGAGACTCTATGGATTAGTCAGGGCTCTCTAAAAGCACGGATCAACAGAGTGAATATATATTAAAAGAGAATTTTAATATATTAAATATGTATTTAAATATTTAATATATTCAAGTATCAAACATATTAAGTAGTATATTTAATATATAGATTGACACCCTCTGGGGTCCTGTGTAAGCTACATGGATACACATGGGGAAGGCTGAGAACCTGGTAGCTGCTCAGTCCAAGGCTGATGCCTCAGTACTCCCAATCTGCCCTTGATGGTCTGGGTGATGCCTAGAGAGCCACTGGTCTTTAGTCCACATTGGAAGGTTAAATAAGCTGGGTTCTGATGCTGCAGCAACAACAGACTAGATGCGCTCATGAATGAGTAGGCATGCAAAAGGCAACAGCTTGCCCCTTGGGCCTCCTTATAGATGGGCCGTGATTGGAAGGTAATGCCTTCTATAGCGGGTGATCATTTCCTCTCAGTTAGCTCTTTCATGAAGTGTCCTTATGTAGACGTGCCCCAGAAGACTGTCCCTTAGTTGATTCCAGAGCCAATCAAGTTGACAAGCAGTATTAACCATCACATCCCGACTTCAAATCTATGTTCAAAAGCAGCTGGAGAGACAGCTCAGTGGTTTAGAGCACTTGTAGAGGAGGATCCAGGTTCAAGTCCCAGTACCCACAGGGTGGGGCACAACCATCTGTAACTCCGGTTGCAAAGTATCTGACACCCTCTTCTGACCTCTGAGGGTACCAGTCATGCACATACATTCAAACAGAAGGATTCACACATATACAGTAAATAAATATTTTAACAATCTATTTTTAAAAAGAGAAAATCGGAAACATAATGCTATGATCATTAACAGCCATTCCGTATGGCCCCTCTTCCCTGTCCCTGGCAAGCATTAGCCTATTTTCTGTCTTTATCACATCGGACTCTCATATGTTCATGGATGCATGCGATAGACACATGGTCTTGCCCAACTGGCTTCCCTTACCAGGTTTTCCCAGTTAGTCCATGGGATCTCAACACTTCGTTCTTTTTTGTTGTTCAATGTTGTGTATATATCACATTTTGTGATAGGTTCTGGGTTCTTTCCACCTTAGGGCCATGCTGAACAGTTCTACCCTGAGCACGCCTGTAAACACTTTCATGTGGGGGTAGGTCTTCCTGAGTACTTCTAGGAGTAGAATTGCTTTGTCCTGTGAGAGTCCATCTGGAGGAACTGCTAGACCATTTTTCAAAGCCAATACACACTTTCAGGTTTCTACCAAGAACAAGGCAGACTCCTGGTTTTCCCACATTCTCACCAACAACCAATATCATCTTTCTTTTATAATTTTAAATTTTATTGTGATTATACATGTATAGATCATAACATTATTCCTTTAACCAGTTTTTAACAATTAAAAACATTTTTAATCTCCCTTCTCCCTCCCTCCCTCCCTCCCTCTGTGAGTGTGTGCTTTCGCAGGCACACACATATACACACATGCACATGTCTGGCTTACTTAACTCAAATAGTGTTTATGAGGGTCATCCATGTTGTAGTATGTGCTGGAATTTCACTTCTTATTGGGAAGCATCACTTTACAAGTTGTTATGTGTTTATCATGTTTGATCCATTCTGCGGCTGCTGGACAGTTGTATCACTCTAGCTTTTGGCTGCTATAGACATTGGTAGGAAAGTTCTGAGTCCTTGCTCTCAATTCTTTTTGCTATGTACCTAGAAGTGAGGCTGCTGGATCGTATGGTAATTCTATGTTTAACTTTCTGAGGCTCCGCCAGACGGTTTTCCACAGCAGCTGCACCGTTTTTAATTCCCAGCAACTCATAGGGCTTCCAATTTCTTCCTATCCTTGCCAATACTTGTTATTTTTGCTTCTAGCTGTCCCAGTAGGTATGAGGTGGTCTCTCACTGTGGCAGCTTATGAGGTTGAGCATACTTTTATGTGTTTGTTATTGACCATTTGTATATTTTCTCTAGGGGAGTGTATATTCAAATTCTGAGTACATTAAAAAAAAACACCTTCAAATCTTTTAAATAGTGTTGCTGGGAAATCGCTCAGCAGGGATTTCTAAGGTCTGTTGACAGAGGACCTTTTAGGAGATGAGATGTCACATGTGGACTGCAAGGGAACTGCTGAGTCCCACCCTCAGAAGGGCTGGCCTTGGGAAGACCCAGATGACCCGGTAGCATTTAGCCTGCAAGGCAGGAAAGACCAAATTTCCGACTATTTACAGGAGTAATTTGATTCATCTCTCTGCACGTGAGTACTCAGCAGAGCGGCAGCTTTTCCTGCAGGGATGCATTTGTGCTGTTACATTTAACTTACTCATTGTTGAAGGATTGTTGTAGAAAGAGGTCCTCTAATCAAAATAGCAGCCATCTTCATCAGAATAGCTGTGACTGCTTACAGGAATCCATCACAATGAGGTGTGTAAACTCTTGACATCCCCTCATAGAAGTAGGGGGTGGGTCAACTCATAACTCTGGTTCTGGGCCTGGGAAGTTACAGGGCTGGTCATCAGAAATCAGAGGCCTTGAACCAGATCAATGACTCTCTGCAACGAACACTTGCAAGTAAAGATATATGGATGCGAGGATTTACTGTGTGACTCACTGTGTCACACTACAGCTTCCATGACAAGACTGATTTTTTTCCTTCTCTCTCCTTTTTCTTTTTTGTCTTAAATTTTATTTTATTCTATTTTGGGGTGGGGAGATTGCAAGGGCAGAGGGTGGATACGAAGGGACAGGGAAATGAATGGGATGGAGATGCATAATGTGAAAGACACAAAGAATAAATAAAAGGAAGGGAAAAAGAGAAGTAGGGGGTGGGGGGAATCATTGGCCCCTCGTCTGAGATGCCAGCCACTCCTCACAGCCATTTGTATGGAATTTTACTGCAGTTACAGGTGGCCTTGGGTTTCAGAAAGGGCTCAGCTGCTAGAATGTGTAGGCTGGCGGAGGTCAAATGGAGAGGCTCCATTTAAGCAGCCACAGGAAGTCATCATTCATATTGGGTGAAGGCTTTCTAGTGAGACTGCTGTAGGGTTACCCTGGCTTCTGTAAGCAGTCACTGTGCTCTGTAAGTAACCCAGTGAATTCACCAGGCCCCCTGGGTGAACTTTGGTTTAACCATTGGGACCTTGTAAAGAGGAGGTAGATGTTGTTTATGGCTCCCTAAGGGAAAGAATTCTCCAACCAAGCACTGTGTGCGTTCTCCAATCAAGTGCCGTGTGCATACGCCACATCCTGTATGTATGACTCATGAAGGAGCAAAGGGTCCTGTGCTGGGAAAGACTGTATGCTTCCCACAATGCGCTGTTGTCACCTCCCTAAAATTCTTATTTTTGAACAGGAGATGATGTATTTTCATTTTGCACAGAGCCTTCAAATCACCGTGGATCTTCCATACTTTAACTTAAGAGGTATCCAATATGAGTAAGAAAACGCTAGGCATGGGCATAGAGTCATACACTGAGCATGATCAGGGTCTGTCTGAAGTCAGGGACAACGTGGAACAGCAGGGGCAGGAGGGCTTGAGATGACTGGCAAGAAGCATCCTAAGTGCTAACCACAAAGATATGCAATATACAGAAAGGTTGGAGCTGGAGAAGACTTCGTCAGAGAAACTAAGATCTGAGTTTCATGTTTGTTGAAGTTTCTCTCTTTCCTTTACTCTAGAATTGTAGGCAGGGGAGTGGCTGGCTAGAGAGAGACCACATTTCCCACCATCCAAGCAGTTAGCAGCAATCATGTGACCAACTTCTTGCCAATAGGATGTGTGGAAATGATGTGGGTACTGAGGTTTGGATATGGACTGCTCCCTTCCACCCCCACCCTGCACCCCCCACCCCCACTGCCACTGCCGCTGCAAAGGCTCATGTACAGGGGGCTCAGTTTCAGCTGAGGGTGCTATTTTGAGAGATTTGGGGAACTTTGGGAAGTAAGACTTAATAAGAGGAAGTAGGATACTGGGGGCAGAGTTTTGCTCCAGGCCTCTTTCTGTTTCTTCTCTGCTCTCTGTCCACGTGAAGTAAAGATGCTTCTCTGGCCCACGCTCCCACCGCCATGATGTTCTGTGCATGCGCAAGGGGCCAAGCAACCCAGACCACATCCTCTGTAATTGAAATGAAGGAAATCTTTTTGCCTTTAAGTAGTTTCTGTCATCTTTTTGTTCATAGAGATGCCTCTTCTAACTTTTCTTCCTGCCTGCAGGCTGGACTCGGTGTCGGGTGGTGACCCAGCCTCAGCCAGCCAGGCAGGTGACCATGAGGAACAGAGCGACCCACTGCCATTATCTCTTATCTCAGAACTGTTACGTCAGATAGAAACGTATGTTCTTATTTTGTGTGTGTAAATGTGTGTGTGTACCTGAGCATATGTGTGTGGAGGCCGGAGGTTGACAGCCACGCTCTTCCATTATCATTCTCCACCTTAGTTCTTGAGACAAGAGCTGACTGCAGATCACTGATCAGAGAGCTCAGCTGGCCAGTGAGGACCCCCCCCCCCCCCCGTTCCCACCTCCCAGTGCTGAGATAATAGGTGTGCTCCGTCATGTGTGACATTTTACGTGGGTGCTGGGGTTCTGTGAAAGGAAAAGTATCAGCTCAGGACCTCCAAGATCAAGTTCTCAGCACGAAGGAGATTTTTTTTGCCCCAAAGGGGCAGAGGGCGTGGACCAAGAGACAAACACAGGAGATAGAGGATGAGGGAGACAGAGGAGGGAACAAGGGAAAGGGGGAAGGACTATTTTTCTGGGTGGTGGTGGTGGAGGGAGAGGGGACAGGGACATAGGACTGCCTCTGGATAGAGAGGAGCCAGAAGGCACATAGGAAAATAGCAGTTTATAAAGACAAAAGGGGCCGGGTGGTGGTGACGCACACCTGTAATCCCAGCACTCGGGAGGCAGAGCCAGGTGGATCTCTGTGAGTTTGAGGCCAGCCTGGTCTACAGAGCTAGTCCAGGATAGGCTCCAAAGCTACAGAGAAATCCTGTCTCGAAAAACCAAAAAAATAAAAATAAAAATAAAATAAAGACAAAAGGGGACCTCCGTGTTAGGATGATGTGGCAGTTTGAATGTACTTGGCCCTCCATAATCTCATAGGGAGTGGTACTGTTAGAAGGTGTGGCTTTGTTGGAGTGGGTATTGTTGTGGGACATTTGTACACTGTGAAAATGTATTGCTACGATTGATGTAATAAAAAGCTGAATGGCCAGTAGCTAGGAAGAGGTTAGATGGGGACTTTGGGGAACAGAAAGGACTCTGGGAAGAAGAAAGGCGGAGTTGCCAGCCAGATGGAGAGGAAACAGGAGGTGCAAGATGATAGAGAGGTAATACCACATGACAGAATGTAGATTAATATACATGGGTTAATTTAAGTTACAAGAGCTAGTTGAGACAGGTCTAAGCTAAAGGCTGAGCCTTCATAACTATTAAGTCTTTGTGTCATTATTTGAGAGTTGGCTGGCAGGACAGAGGAAGACTCATTATATGGAGTGATCTTGTTGGAGGAAGTGTGTCACTGTGGGGGTGGGCTTTGAGGTTTCCTATGCTCAGGATATCGCCTGGTGTCTCAGTGGACTTCTTGTTGCCTGCAAGATGTAGCACTCTCAGCTCCAGCACCATGTCTGCCTGCACACTACCATGCTCCCCCTGCATGATGATAATGGACTGAACTTCTGAAACTCTAAGCAAGCACCCCAATTAAATGTCTTCTTTATAAGAGTTGCTGTGGTCATGGTGTCTCTTCACAGCAATAGTAACCCTAACGAAGACAGTTGAGATGTTTAATTTTGATTGGGCATGTTAATTAGGTGAGCCAAAGAAGGCTTTTGGTTGCTGGACTTCAATACTTTGATAGCTGGACCTTGATAGTCAGCCTCAAGAGGAGGAAGTGGCCAAATAAGGGAATAGTCCTTGGTGGCTAGCTTTATGGATGCAATCTAATGATTTTTAGCAGTGCAGAGGGACTCGGGGAGAATGGTAAGGCTGGCCAGAGAAGCATGCGTGAGTGGGCTAGTGTCCCTTCATTCTGAGCTCAGGTCCTCGTGTTGCTGAGCAAACACTTTACTGGCTCAGCCATCTCCCCACTGTGAAATGTATATTCTTAAGCTATTATGCTATGGGGACTTGTTGTTAGCCTCCTTGACTAAGTCCAGTGTAGATTAGAATTCGGGGGGTGGGGGAAAGGCATCTTCCAAAACATGGGTCAAGGGAGAACCTGACACATTTGCAGGTCTGCAGTGACCACTGTGGGAGTGAGGGTGCTGTCTTGGTTAGGTTAGGATTCTGTGGTACCACAGACTCGATGGCCTAAACAACAGGCATTTATTTCCCACAGTTCTAGGACAGAAGTCCAAGAGCAAGTTGCCAACTGATTTATACTTGGCAGGGACTCTCCTCCTGGCTTAGCACGTAGCTGTTTCCTCACCATGTCCTTGTGATGGAGGCCGGAAAAGGAGACAGAAACGTTATCTTTTCCTCTTCTGTTTCCTCCTCCTCCTCCTCCTCTTCTTTTTCGGCAGGATCTAGCCACACATAGTTATATAGCTATAGCTCTGTGGAGCTCACTATGTAGACGAGGCTGGCCTTGAACTCACAGAGGTTTTCCTGCTTTTGCCTCCCAAGTGCTAGGATAAAAGGTGTGTACTACTAGGCCTGACTTTCTCAGAAGGGCACTGATCTCACGCTCCAGCCTCACAGTTTAATCTGGCCCTAATCGCCTCCTGTAGACCCCCGTCTCTAATACCAATCACACTGATGGTGGGACAGGCGAATTTGGGAAGACACAAATGTTCAGTCTGTAACACGTGAGAAGAAAGAAGATCCAGCTGAATCACAGAGGACTTTGTGTACCAAACAAAGAGCTTGGGAATCAGTTTGGGAAGTGGTGTCATCAAACTGGTTTTTAAATTTTTAAACATGTTATTACATTTGTGTGTGTGTGTGTGTGTGTGTGTGTGTGTGTGTGTGTGTGTGTGTGTAAGGTCCGAGGACAGTTTTCAGGAGTTGGTTCTCTTCTTTCATCACGTGGGCCCCAGGGATTGAACTCAGGTCATCAGTCTTGGGAGAAAGTGACTTTACCCTCTGAGCCAGCTCACTGGCTCAGGTTTTTGGATTTGAGACTTGAACTGTATTCTGTGACTTTTAAAATTTATAAAATAATTCAAAAGACCAGTTAATAATACAAGAGTCACACAGTACTTGCCACCTAGCTTAGATAATAAGTTCCCAGAATCCCTTTCCTGATCCCGTCTTCAGCTGAATCTCCTTCTCTCCCTTCCCTCTCTTTCTTTTCCCCACCCTTTCACTCTTTCCTTGTTTGAAGCAGTTTCACTAAGTAGTACAAACTGGCCTGGAATTTACTACGTAGCTAGCCTTGAACTCCCAATTCTCCTGCCTCTACCTTATTAGGGCTGGGATTATAAATATGTGTCCCCATGCCTAACACTTAGTTTTCCTTCTTTCTTTTTTTAAAAAGGGTTCTGGAAGAGGGAAAGAATAGAAGTTAGTTCTGGACCACTCAACATTTGGTGATTCCTTAACCTGGAGCCAGGTACGATAGTGCATGTATGTCATAGCAGCATGCACAGCCAAGTGGAACAAGCCCTGTGCGTCTCAGCATGAGGCGACTCCTTCCTGTGACTGTGCCTGGCGAGCGTGGAGGAGCACCATGTGTCTGAAGTATGGTCCAAGACTTGATGGGCTGTGTGTGCTGTGTCTTAAGCTGTTACCCACTTTTGCTGATGTGTGAACAGCTCAGTGCTATGGTGAAAAGAAATCCAAAATGTGTTCTTGAAGCTTTGAGGTTCTGAGAAGGACAGTGAAGGACTTAGGGACACAGGTGGTGACGCAACTTTACATCCATGACGCTTGTGACTTTGGAAAAGAAAGGAGAGGATGTTGGGAGCCAGCAGCTGGCGATGTTGATGGTGTTGAAGAGCATTGCACTTCCTGGGCCAGAGCCCAAGATGCCAGCATGAGAGACGCTGGCAGGAGAGTCTTCTGCAGGCAGGGGAGACTGAACTGGGCAGGTTTGCTGGCTGCATCAGAAGACATTTTTAAAGGTTGTCGTTGTCACAGAGTTGACAGCTGCGGTTCTTGCTCAATGTCTACTTACTTTTTCCATGTAACTCCCTCTCTGTTTTGAAGGGAAATTGTCTTAGGGTTTCTACTGCTGCGATATAATACCATGACTTGTATACATGTATACATAGACTATGTATACATAGAGCAACTTGGGGAGGAAAGGGTTTATTTCACTTACATTTCCACATCATAGTTCATCACCGAAGGAAGTCAGATCTGGAACTCAAGGCAGGTACTTGGGGGCAGGAATTGAAGCAGAAAAACATTGAGGAATACTTACTGGCTTGTTCCCCATGGCGTGTTCAGCCTGCTCTCTTCTACTATCCAGGTGGTATTGCCCACAGTGAGCTGGGCTCTCTCACATCAATCATCAATCCACAAAATGCCTCACAGGCTTGCCTACAGGCCAATCCTATGGAGACATTCTCTCCGTTAAGATTTCTTTTTACCCAGATGACCCTAGCTTGTGTCAAGTTGACATAAGAACTAGCTAGCACAGAAGCCGTCCTTCTACTACTCAAAGAAAGATTGAAGTCATTGTCATTCTTTGCTTCTAAGGATGACTTATCAACCCAGAGCCAGCCTACCAGAATCCCAGCAACAGGCTCAGAGGGGTCATTAGACCCAGTGAGGGTCATGAGATAAGCTTTGTTTCCCTAGTGTTGGCATGGTAGACTGTGAGCTTGGAGTTGTGGAAGCAGGTTTTAATGAGACTGAGAATGAAGTCTGCAAACGGAAAGTGGAACCCAATGGTGGAGAGGGAGACATGCATGGAACTATGTATACATAGAGCACTTGAGTTAGCCAGGCCCAAAGGTACTGAAGATAGGTCTGCTTCTTGGCTTTTTTTTTTTTTTAGTGATGTGAGCCTATTCTCTATCATCTATCTACCTACCTACCTATCCTCAATTTATCATCTCTCAAGCACCTATCACCTATCAATACATCTAGCAATAGATCTATCACTTATTATTTATCTACCTATCATCTACCTCTGTTTATCATCAGTCAACACTATCTCTCTCTTCTATTATCCATTAGTCAACTACCCACATCTATTTATTTATCTATCTCTCATCTGTCTTCTAAATCATCTATGTATGTATGTATGTACGTATATATGTATGTATGTATGTATCTATCTATCTATCTATCTATCTATCTATCTATCTATCTATTCATCCTCTATCAATAGTCACCTACATATCTATCATCTAGCTAGTTAGCTATCCACAATTTATCTATTATCTATCTACCAGTCATCTATATAGCATTATCATCTATCAGCCATCTATTTATCTATTGTCCTTCTACCTCCCTACCTGTCATCTATCTTCATTGGTTCTTTCTTCCTATATGGTTTAGTGTAGTTTCAGTTTGACGACTATTATTTACACTGACAGTTGAAGATAAAGTATAAAGCATTCTTTGTGATATAAAAGACAGAAACATGATATGTACTCTTGAGTGAACATAGAGATAACTGGATTAGAGTTTTTCCTGTGGCCCTTGTGCTCACCTCCTAGTGTGGAGGGTATGAGGGAGTGAATAAGACAAGGTGTTCAGTTCATAAACATCCCCGTTACATGGAAGGGATTCAGACTGGGAAGAGGCAATGCAGAGCTATATGCTATGGAACAGGTATGGCTGTAACAGCAAGGGGAAACTGCACAGTATTATCTACAAAGAAAGACTAAGGGGTCTGTTTATCAGCCTGCAGAGTTTGGGGGAATAAAGGACAGCTACAGATCAAGACCCCATTCTACACAATGGTCAGAGCAGGGGTGCAGAGGATGCTTGCCTAATACATAGCCCTAAAGCCAAGGATGGGGAGAATTGCAGTTACCTAGACGTAAGGTGGAATTCTGTTTTCTGAAGTTTACAACATACAAGAAGTTACTGATTTACCCTGTTAATCGTTTCTCAAAACAAAAGTAGCAAGGGAGGGAGCTCTTTCCTTATCTCTATTTCCATCTCCCCTCCTCCAGGTCTTCGCTTCCATTTCCCTCTCTCTATCTTTTCCTCTCTTCTCTTTTCCATAATTTCCCTCTTGAACATAAAAGGGAGATGCCCTTGTGTGGACAAAATGCAGTGACATAAGAGCAACTGTTCTCAATTCTCTTTCTCAGAGATAAGTGATTTGGTTTGTATCATGTGCCTGATGCTGGCTAGGTATCACATAAATAGCCTTCTTCACTCCCCACAGAAATTCAAGAGACAAGATAGAGTGTGATCTTTACTTTGTAGATGGGGGGACTAAAGCTGGACAAAGCTGAAAACCAAGGTCCTACGATCATTCACACAGACTGGTGCTAGGGCCAGGGATTGAACTCAATGGGATGGGCTGGTGACCACTGTATTCAATCTGTGTTTCCTTTCATGTACATACATCCCCAGTATAGTTTATATTTATCATTTTCATGACTGGCTTTCCTATTCCCTTTCATTTTATATGTGCACTCTCTTATTTTATTCAACATCCTGGTTATTTATTCATTCATTCTTGAGATGGAGGGTTTTACAATATTGTCCAGGCTAGTCTTGAACTTGTAATCATCCTGCCTCAGCCTCCCCAGTAGCTAGGGTTATAGATGTAGACTTCAGTGCCTGGCTTCAACTCTTACTTTTAAAGTTAAAATATTTATATAGTGACCTATTTTTCTGCTAATATGACAAAGTAAATATCTGTCTTAGTTAGAGTTTCTATTACTGTGAAGAGACACCATGACCACGACAACTTTTATAAAGGAAAAACATTTAATTGGGTTGGCTTATATTTTCAGAGGTCCAGTCTATTATTATCATGAAGGGACATGGTGGTGTGCAGGCAGACATGGTGCTGGAGAAGGAGCTGAGACTCATACATCTTGACCCACAGGCAACAGGAAGTGGTCTGAGACACTGGGTATGGCTTGAGCATATATGAGACCTCAAAGCCCATCCTCACAGTGACAAACTTCCTCCAACAAGGCCATATTCACTCCAACAAAGCCACACCTCCTACTAGTGCCACTCTGTATGAGTTTATGGGGACAATTACATTCAGACTACCACAGTACCTCAGCTAATTAACTTAAACGGTAGAAAGCTTCGCCTTGGATCAAGGTTGCAGAGGTTTCAGTTCATAATTGGCTCTGTTTTTTGGGTGTGTGTGTGTGGAGAAATCACAGAGGCAACGCAAGGCAGAGGGAGATATTCATGTCTTGTGGGTGTTAGAAATCAGGGAGGCAGGGAAGGAGGAAGAGAAAGAGACTGGAATACTAACTTTCCCTGCAAGGACACCCCTATGACCTATGAGTTTATTTGCATTAGGTTCCACATCCTTAAGGCCCAACCCCTTACTAATAACTTCACAGGCTGGCAGCCAAACCTTTGACACACAGAGGGCTTTTAGGGACTATTCCAGTTTCAAACTGTACAAACATCTATAAAGGAGAGAGCTAGCCTAAGGGACTCCCAAAAACCCGTCCCACAACTTCAGCAATTACCAGCCAACCTTGCTTCTTCATCTGCTTCCCAGTATAATATCTAGAGCACATGGTCGATGTCATGTCACTTTTGTCTGTGACTATTTCAGCAGTTCTAGTAATTCCATAATACTACCAGGTATCTGCTTAAGACTCAAAATTTCCTCATGCAATCGGTATTGTGAATGACATTCTGAGTTTGGCTCTGGAAGAGCTGATGAATGATGTGTAAGTACCAGAGACCCAAAATGACCTATTTTATGATCACCAGGAAGTCTGGCTGGTCTGGAACTGGCTTTGTAGACCAGGCTGGTTTGGAATTCACAGAGATCCTCCTGCCTCTGCCTTGCTAGTGCTGGGATTAAAAGCATGCACCATCATGCCTGCTGACCCGGATGTTTTAGAGCTTGAAATAGCCAATAGACATTAAGAAAAGATGCACTCCAAAATTAGGAAGGCAGATTTCCACAAGCTAAGGGTGGGGTGGGGAGGTTGTAATTAGGATGGCTCAATGTGGTGGCATTAGTCACACTCAGCCACTGACATTTTAGTGAATTACAATTCAATAAAATTTAAAAGCGAGTCCCACATGTGGCCAGTGGCTACCATATTGGACAACATTGGTACAGGACATTGTATCACCGAAGGAAGTTGCCTAAGACACAGCTGTCCCAGTAGCTAAGAAGGGACAGTGTTTGGAAAGGGACAGGAGAATCCTAAACAGGTTTTAGAGCTCTGCATCTTTGGGTTGTGAAAGGTGCTGAGGGGTCGGAGTCTCTTCCCCTAAGCCTTCAGGAGGAGGGCAACAGCTTTAACACAAGTGTCCTCATCTTGCCTTGAGCCAGGCATGGTGGTGTCTGCTCACCTTTGATCCCAGCACTCGGGAGGCAGAGCCAGTTGTTCAGAGCAAGTTCAGGGCAGTCAGCGCTACACAGAGAAACCCCGTCTCCAAACAAAAGCAAACACAGCAACAACAAAAAAAAGTCTTCCATATCCTTCC